TAGTAAGCTGTTCTGGCTTTGCGGAGGGCTTTCTTATAAAGTAACAAACTATTTCTCCAGGCTAAATGATGATCCTCTAAATTTGTGACACGCCATTTCCTCTCCTGTAATACTACAGTGTTCCACCCACAACAGACCATTCAAAGTTTCTGCTCCATAATGCAGTATGACCTTGAAAGATGTTTTCACATACCGCAGCACTATTAGCATAGTATGACTGCCTTCTACAGGATGCCTTTAGGCATATTTTACTACTCTACTCTTCTAGTTAATTGCTGGCCTCCTCAACGAGATATGACTTTTATGTCAGCTTTTTCTGTAGAGTGATTTGCTAATTCAGTTGCTTATCCAAGGGTTCCTACTGTGACTATAACCTCTGTTTCTGTACCTTTTCTTCTTGTTGAACTTTCTCATGGTCTGGCAGCTGACATATTTGTCTGTTTCTTGTTTGAACTGTTTTTTTGGGTTTTTTTTATTTATATTCTCTACTAAACTGCTAAATAAGATATTGCTAAAAAAGAGGCTTCAAATCTTCAAAGCTCACCTCAATGACAAGAAGAGGACTTAAATAGAGGTGAGAATGGTTCAGGCACTACTGAAGGACAAGGTCATAGAGGGTAAGGACGACTCCAGGAGAAAGCTGGAGTGGAAACTCCAGCAGAACAGCATGATAGAGGAGTGGAATGGCATGAATCACCTAATTTAGGCCAACCGACAGCAGAGGAGCTGGGGACAATGAGGACAGAGCCAACGAGCTGAATGTGTTCTTCAACAGATTCAACACTGCAGTGAATGCTCACTCCCCTACTGACTTACCTGTAGTCAGCCTGCGATCCACAGCCACACCACTCTCTCTACACATTGCATGTCCTGCAAAAGTCCTGACACCCCACCCCCAGCTATTACTTTCACTCTAAGCCAGGTTCAGAGACAAATGAGAAGACTCCCCTTAAACAAGTCTGTTGGACCAGACGGGGTGAGTCCTTGTGTCCTCAAGGCCTGTGCCCCCCAGTTTTGTGGAGCCTTTCATAAATGAGTCAGAGTCGGCAGAGGGTCCCAGTGCTATGGAAGACATCATGCCTCGTTCCGGTACCACAGACGCCATGTCCCAGTGGCCCCACAGGGTTACAGACCTTTGGCTCTGACATCCCAGATCATGAAGACCCTGGAAAGACTCGTCTTTGACCAGCTCGACCTACTGTCAGGCCACATCAGGATCCCCTCAGTTCACTTACCAGCTCCTCCTTGGAGCTGAGGACATCATCATCTGTTCAGTCGTGTCTACACCCATCTGGACCAGCCAGTGAGCGCTGTGAAGGTCATGTTTTTCGACTTCCAGTCCATTCAGAACTATCAGACCAACCCTCTTGGGTGATAAGCCGATAGCGATGCAG